CCAGCATTTGTTGCTTGCTGTTCTGTTAAATTTTGCTATTTTGACTGGGGTGAAATGATATCTCATAGTTGTTTTAATTTGCATCTCTCTTAGGAAATTGCTGCTTTCTGAAAGGGCTTTATCCTTCTGTATCATCACCAACAATGGAGGTGATAATTTCCCCACTGGTTTCCCTCATGGCATTTCTGTGTGTTCTCCCACCAAATTATCTTCTTGCTGTATATAGCTTTCCCAATTGAAAACAAAATACAACTAAAACACAAACCTACAAATGAAAAAAGTGTGAAGGACGAAAACAGTACAAAGGAAATACAATCAGACAGTAATCAAGCAGAAACTCATTGGGTGGTTCTCAGTGGGGGACAGATTTGTCCCAATGGGGGCCAGTTAGCAGTAATTGCACACACCTTTGGCCATCATAGCTGGGAAGAGGAGTGCTCTTGGCATCTTGTGGGGAGAGGCCAGGGATCTGCTGGCCTACTGTAGCACACAGGGCAGCTGCCATAACAAAAGACTGTCCAGTTCAGTGTGTCCATTGTCTGCATGTTGAAAAACGCTTCTCAAAAAACTCTATTGTCCGTCAAGTCAGAACTGAATCATAGCTGACCCTCCTGCGGGTTTTCAGGAGCTGTACATTGCTTGGGAGGAGAGGACATTGCCTATCTTTCTCTAGTGGAATGGATGATAGATCCAAACTACCAGAGAGGTGCCACTTCATGGTTAACAATGTATCTCTCTGAATATGCCAGCAGAACTCTGAGATACTCTTAGCTAGACTAACAAGCAAATAATAGACGAAAATGAGGCACTTCAGTCCTGTTGTTGGTAGGGGCTGTCAAGTGTGACTCATACTGACCCTGTGAACAAGACACCTGAATGCTGTCTATCCTGTGCTATTCTCCCCATCTCGGATATACTTGAGATCATTGTTATAGTCACTGAGTCAGTCCATCTCGTTGAGGGTCTTCTTCTCTTTTGCTGTTCTCTACCTTTACAAGCATGGTATCCTTTTCCAAGGACTGTCTTCTCCTAACAATATGCCCATAGTATTTGAGACAAAGTTTCATTATCCTCACCTCTAAGGAGCACCCTGATTGTACTTCCTCTAAGACATTCTTTCGACAGTCCATGGGACATTCGGTACTTGGCTCCAACACTGCAGTTCAAAGTCATTGACTCTTTTGCCATCTTGATTCATTATCTAGCTCTCAGACCCATAGTAAGCAATTGAAAAGACCATAGCTTGGATCAAGTGCATCTTGGTCTTTAAACTGACACTGTTACTCCTTACCACTTTGGAGTCTATAAAAGACATTTTAAAGCAAATTATTTCCAGTCCATGAACTGTGTTGGTGGTCTAGCTTGAGTCAGCTGAACTCATTGCTACAGACAGGACTGGGTCGTCCTCATATGAGTCAGGTGTACATGAGGTTGCAGGCTCTGACTCTGTTTGTCTCACTTGTTTGCCATTCCTTGGGGTTCTGGCCATAGAATATTTTGAGTTGGAAAGAGATAGTTGTTCTTAACTCTGTTTGGCTTATGGACCTGTCTGAGAATTTGATAGATGGTCTGGATACTTTGTTAGTAGGCTACCAAATGGGCATTTTCATAATATTTTGCATGCGATTTGTAGGTGCTTGTAGGACCTGTGAAACACAGACCCTAGTTAATACCCTGCTCGTCTACTCTTTCACAAAAGGCACATAGTGCTTCTTCCTCAGTATCGGAGTCAGCAAACACCTAGGGCACAGGCCTCCTCTCTTCCTCTTTGCCGCAGCAGACAGCACTTGGGGGGGGGTAGCGGAGGAAGCCAAGGTTCACTGACATGGTAGCAGCACCAGGACACTGCCTGTGCTGATGACCTGGTGGAGTCTCAGGTCCCGCGCACTCTAGTGGCAACATCAACCATCAGTACCACTACTGGAATTGCTGCTGGTGGCCCTGCATGTCCTTACATGTTAGCACCCATTACTGACTGGATGGAGTCTCTGGGCAGTGTGGAGGAAACGTGCTTGGCTACTAATCAGAAGGCTGGAGGTTCAAGTACACACTCCTACAAAAATCTCCTTCCAGAAAACCAGCCAGGCCATCCTGCAGAGCAGTGTTAGCCTGACATACATGGGGTTGCTGTGAGTCAGAGACAACTCTGTGTTTTTATTGCCTGAGTGTTTATTGGGTGCACATAATGAAACACAGGGCAGGGCCTACTAGAAGTACCATTGTTTCAGTCTGTGTGACCTGTTGCTAGGAATTTGAAGTTGTCCACGTTGCTAGAATGTTGTTCACCTAGAACGTGGAAGCTGAATGTCCTGTGCAAAGTGGAGAAAGAGAGGTTCTTGGCCTCTGACTTCACCTGATTAGAATTTACTGACCTCTTGCTAGCTTGGTTGCTTGGCAGTGGCTACGCGCCTGTTTTCTCGTGTTACTGTTAGGCACTAGTGACTAGAACATGTGCAGTTCTTTCCACTTACGGGTGCCTCATCTCTGTGTTTAAGGAACTACCCACTTTTGCTGGAATCTGCAGTGCTTCTTGGAGGCAAGGATGACAAAGCTTCATCTCTCATACTTTGAACGTGTTGCTAGGAGACACTGTTCCTTGAAAAGGGGTATCATTATTGGAAAGGTGGAGGGTCAGTCAAAGAGAGGAAGACCTCCAATGAGATGGATTGCCACAGTGACTGCAGCAGTGGGCTCAAGTGTGTCAGAGATAGTGACGATGGCAGAGAATAGGACAGGGTTCAGGTCTTTTGTTCTTGGGTCACAATGAGTCATACTCAACTCAATGGCACCTAACAACAACAACAACACCCTCTATAGTTTAAGTTGTGAGAATGGATTTAGATGAAATTGTTAGGAAGCCTTTGTCAGTAAGCTATGGGAAGCCAGAAAGGCAGCCTTGGTTCTTTGGGAAGCACCTGGTAGCCTCTGCATGAGTTGGAGGAGGGTAGGTGACGGGGTCCAGGGGGCAGCTGGGGCCTTGGTTAGGGTTAAGCAGTGGGGTGGTGGGCACTGAGGTTGGGAAGTTGAGGACTCGTGGTAGAGACAGGGGTTTAATTCTCTTTGTGACCCTTGAGCACATCTGACATAAGCTTCCTTATTTTCTGAAGGAGGGACAGTGACTAGAAGTTTCTCCATTAACTTTACATTGTTGACACTTGTTAAGATGCTCTGAAAAGACATTTCAGGCAAAATATGAAATAGTGCCCATGAGTCTCTTAGCTAATTGGCAGCTGTCAGTTTTAAAAATGGTTTTCCCTAATCGATAAAGTTTACCCACTTTAAAAAAGACTGCACATTTTTAGTGAACTGCTGGTAACTGATTATCTTTAGAACACACCCAGCCCTCCTTTAGCGTGCTGAGAGGAACGCCTGATGGGAGAAGGCTGGCATGCTGCTTGCTGATGTGTCCACACACTCCATAAATACTTTTTGTGTTTTGCTTATTGTCGTTAAAGGAACCAGTGTATCAGTCAGATGAAAGAAGTGAAGGAGCAGTGTGATGAACGAATAGAGGAAGTCACCAAAAAGGGAAATGAAGCTTCTAGAGGTTCAAGTGAAAAGATGGCTCAAAACCAGCAGGTAATGCCAGGGTTTTTGTGCCCAGCTCAGGAAGTCTGCATGCCCTCTCCGGGAGTGTTATCCCCTTTTCCTGCCTCGCACTGTACTGATAGCCCCTCTGACGTGGGTTTCGGTGGCTGGGATGCCCTCCCTATTGCTGAGTGGGCTCTAGACCTGAGCCTCTGCTCAGGGATTTAGGGTAATTTATTTTTAAATAAATGAAATTTTCATTTTTATATGGGTTTACTTACAACAACAACTTACTTACAAAGTTAATATACATTGTTTTTCACAGTAGATCTTTCCCTTTTCCTTTACCCACTCCTCTCTCCACGCAATCTTATGATGACCTCCCTCCACAGCCCATCCTTTTCCCTCTGCTCCCACCCTCCCTCCCTTAGATCTTCATACATGTTTTACTAGTTATCGATATCTACAATAATAGTTTCATATAGTGTTTGTCCTTATAGGACTGAGTTAGTTCATTAAGCATAATGCTCTCCAGTCCCTCCCAAGTTAGGTACTGATTTACAAAATCATTGCTCCTGTGTGCTGAGTAATAATCCATTGTGTGAATGTACCATAATTTCTCATTCCATTCTATTGTGGTTGGACATTTGTGTTGTTTCCATGTTCTTACAATAGGGAATAATGCTGCTATGAACATTGGTGTACAAGTCTCCATTTGTGCCTCAGTTATTATTTTCTCAGAGTATATTCCAGGCTGGGTTTAGAAGGGGTCGTGGTACTATGGATATTGTAGCTAATCTTAGATGGATCTTAGCTGAAAGCAGGGAGCACCAGAGAAATGTCTATCTGTGTTTCATTGATTGTGCAAAGGCATTTGACTGTGTGGATCATAACAAACTGTGGCTGACTCTGAGAAGAATGGGAATCCCAG